TGCCCTTGGGGAGGTCTGGAGGGAGAAGGCCTGGGGAGGTGACGTCGGAGCCAGCCAGGCGTCTGTGAGCCTGTGGCTGTCCCAGGTGGAAGGCACAGCCAGGGCAAAGGCCCTGAGGGAAGGCAGCGAGCATGAAGAGGAGAGGCTGACGAGGGCTGGGGGAGGGGTCCCCGCGGAAGTGGGGGGACCATTCCCACGCATTGCCTCCTAGGGAACAGGCGCTGGTTAACGTCACTTAAAATGTTTAATTGTGTTTGATCATTATTTAAATGTTTACACAGTTCCAAGGTCAAGCTGCTCAAACCACGTCTATATAGTAATTTTCTAACTTCTATTTTGCCTCCCCATCCAGTTCTCTCCTGCCGCACCCTCCGTTTCCGGTTCCGGGGGCCCACCTGTCTTCCACGCGCCCCGCCCCTTTTCCCCGCCCGCGGGCAGGTGCTGCGCCTGCGCGCGTCTTGCCGATTTGGCTCTTGCGTTTGTGGGAGGGACTCCCGGTACCCGGCAGGGGGGCCCAGGGCAGCATCCTGCCCCACTGGTTCCCTCCGAGGGCCTGTCCTCTGCTGCATGCCCGGGGGTGCTGCGAGAGAGCACAGGGGAGACCCACCTCTTGGCAGCCCAGGTGCGCTTCTTATTTGGAGCGGGGTCCAGCATCTTGTCCTGTGTCCAAGGGCTGTTTTATTTGCGTTTCTCTTTCCGTGAACTGTCCATAACTATTGCTTGTTTTCCTAAAGAGCTTCCGGTATTTTTAAAGAAAGTCTTTATACAGGAGGACTTTGAACTCTTTGTCATACAAATTTCCCTTCCAGTGGCCACTGGTCTAACTGCTTCTTTTTTCTTTTTTCTTTTTTCCTTTTTCTTCCCCCCCGCCCCTTTTTTTACGCTGCATACAGCAGGAGCTCTATGTGTGCTCACTGTATACATGGAGCAGCCAGCAGCTTGTTCTCTGCATCTTCGGGTCTATTTCCGTTTCGTTTATCCATTTGTTTTGTTTTTTAGAGTCCACAGCTAAGTGAGATCATCTGGTGTTTGTCCTCTGACTTATCTCAGTCAGCATAGTCCCCTCCAGGTCCATCCATGTCATCAAAGATGGCAACAGTTCACTCTTTCTTTCGGCCGAGTGACGTTCCACTGTCCATCTGTACCACTTCTTCTTTGTCCAGTCATCCACTGATGGGCACTTGCACTGCTTCGGTGTCTTGGTTATTACTAGTTTTGCCGCAGTGAACGGAGCGGTGCATTTGTCTTTTCGAATTAGTGTTTTGGTTTTCTTCGGGTGAATGCCCGGAGTGGACGTGCTGGGCCATCGGGTAGTGTGTTTTCGATTTTCCGAGGCACCTGCACGCTGTCTTCCGTAGTGGCTGCTACTCCCACCAGCACAGGGCGCGAGGACCCCTTTTCTCCGCGTCCTCACCAGCGCCTGTCGTTTGCTGGTTTATTGACGAGGGCCATTGTGACAGGCGTGAGGTGAGAGCTCGCTGGTTTTCATCTGCGTTTCCCTGATGATTGGTGACGCCGAGCATCTTTTCCTACGGCCAACGACCGTCTGTGTGTCCCCCTGGGAGAGGTGTCTGTGCAGGTCCCCTGCCCGTCTTTTCACTGGACCGTTTGTTTTTGTGTGTCGGGTGGTATGAGCTCTGTCCACACTCGGGCTGTCAACCCGTGGTCGGATGTATCGTTGGCCAGACTCCTCTCCCAGTCCGTGGACCGTCTTTTCGTTTCGTTGATGGCTTCCTGCGCTGGGCGAGAACTCTAGTTTGACGAAATCCCGTTGGTTTGTTTATTCCATTGTTTCCATTTGCCGAGGAGCCACGTCCATACGGTATCGCTGAGACCACGTCAGCGTTTACCTCCTGTTTACCGCTGGGGTTTTATGGTTCGGTCTTACGTCACGTGTCTAATCCACTTGCACTTGACTCTGTACGTGGCGCGGGAAGGTGGCCAGTTTCGTCGTCGTGCGGGTGACCGTCCGGTTCTGCCAGCAGCGCTCGTCACAGACCTGTCTGCTCTGCCGTGTGTCCGCGCCTCCTCTGTCCGAGGTCGTGGGACCGCGAGGGCGAGGTTTTGTCTCCAGGCTCTGTTCCGTCCACCGGTGTGCGTGCGTGTGTTTATGTCCCCAGCGCCATGCTCTTCTGACTGCGGGAGCTTAATGTCAGTACCCACAGGCCCGGGGCAAGCCCTGAGACCGAGCATGTCCCCCGTGCACGGAGAGGCTGCCCCTGCAGCCTGCTAATTAATGTGCTGTTTACCGCTCTTAAAAGCGGCCGGAGGTGGCCTCTGAAAATGGTAGTTTGTCTTGTGGTCTAGCATATTGTCTCTCCTGGAGAAGGTTCCGTGTGCACTTGAAAATTACGTATGCTGCAGTTTGGGGACGAGACGTTCTATAACTGTGTATTCAGTCGAGCTCATCTCACGTGGCATTGAAAGTCCTTCTCTCCTTCTTAACTTGGTCTGTGTGACCTGGCCATGGACGTGAGTGCGCTGGTAAGATCCCCTATGTCATGACGTCAGCGTGGTCGGTCCCTTTGTGTCCGTTGGTGCCTCTGCATGGATTTAGTGCCCCGTGTGGGGTGCGTAGCTATTTCCGACTACTGTATCCTCGTCTTAGACTGACCCTCTCTATCGTCACGTAATGTCCTGTCTTTTGTTAACACGTTTTGTTTTAAAGTCCATTGTATCTGACCTGACTATTGCTACTGCCACTTTCTGTTTCTATTTGCATGGAGTGTCTTTTTCCCGTCACTTCTAGCCGGCGTGCCTTCCGATTTGAAGGGTGCCCAGTGGGCAGCATGTCGATGGCCCGTGCCTGCACGCCCATTCGGCCACCCCAGGTCGTCGTGACGGGGCGTCGGATGCACTTCGTTTGGTGTGGTTCTCCATGAACTCGGACGTGTTGCCATTTCGGGCAATGTTTTCTGGTCATCTGCTGCCGTGGGGCTGAAATGTCCAGCTCTGTGCCTTGAGGCAGGGGCCACCTATACCCTTGTGTGGTGTATGTTCTGGAATTTTGCTCCATTCAGCCGGCCCGTCTGCTCTGTGCGAGGCTTTACAGCACGGTTTAGTATCTCAGAGGGCGAGTCGCGCCTCCCCGCCCCCCTTTCTCACGGGCTTTCCGCTGTGTTTGCTCACTCGGCCTAAACGAACCTGACCAGCTCCAGTTACGAGGAAGCCAACCTGAGTGGTTTCCACCGGGATCGCGGGAAATGCGCAGATCGGAAGGGATCTCCACATTTGCGCGTCTGGCGCCGTCGCGATGCTGAGGAGCGCTCTGTCTTTCGGGAGCGTTTCCAAGGGTTCTTCTCGTGGGTCTGGATGTGTCTTGTGGCCTTCGTGCCCCCACCATTCCTCGTAGCTCTTCATGCTGGTGTAAACGGTCTTCTCAGCCCTCACCTCCTCTTCCGAGAGGCTCTTCCGAGGGTTCTTCTCGTGGGTCTGGATGTGTCTCGTGACCTTCGCGCCCCCACCATTCCTCGTAGCTCTTCACGCTGGTCTCAGCCCTCACCTCCTCTTCCGAGAGGCTCTTCCTTGCATCGACGAAAGCTGGTGGCGTCTCGTTACGGCAGCCCGTCCCCTATGTGGACGTGCACACTGCAGCAAACCGCTCACGTCGAGAGGGTGCTCGATGGATGTTCCGTGAAATGAAAGCTTTGCTGCCGAGGGCGACCGTCGACCCGTCGTCACCACAGCGACGACTCGTTTCAGTGTTCCTGGCTCCCGTGGTTTCTGTGTCGCTTGCTGTCACGACTGGGTTCTGTTATTGCCGTGACTTTGTGCTGATTCCAGATGGCGAACAGATCATTGTACTTCACCCTGTCCAGCTCTTTTGTCTGCAGCTGCCTTTCCTCGTCCGATCGCACCGGCCAGCATTGCCGAGGGAGTTAAATGACAGGGAGTCTGTGTCCATCTTTTCTTGCTCCTGTCTTCGGTGACAGAACCGCTAGGGTTTGGCCGTTAAGTAAAATGCTGGCTTTCAGATTAAAGCATTGAAACTCTTTCGCAGACCAAAAAAAACGGAGGGGCCGAGAGGTGACGCCATCCCAAAGGTAAGGTGGGAAGGAGGAAGAGCTGGACCTGTGCCCTGATGTCACCCCTGCCTCCCACCCCTCCAGGAGATTGTCAACTTCAACTGCCGGAAGCTGGTGGCCTCGATGCCACTGTTTGCTAATGCCGACCCCAACTTTGTCACGGCCATGCTAACCAAACTCAAGTTCGAGGTCTTCCAGCCGGGTGACTACATCATCCGCGAGGGCACCATTGGCAAGAAGATGTACTTCATCCAGCATGGCGTGGTCAGCGTGCTCACCAAGGGCAACAAAGAGATGAAGCTGTCTGACGGCTCTTACTTCGGGGGTGAGTATCTTCGCGGGCGGGGGGGTCAGCCACCGGCCACACCCTTTCTGGGGGTGCAGAGGAAGGTGGCGAGGCCACACGGTACTGGTGTGGCCAGTTCGGCCGTCGGGAGGGGCCTCGGTGGAAAGCTGCAGCAGGCGTGTGGCAGTTGGGAGGCCTGGGGCTGGACGGGTGGCTGGGGGGGGCCGGCTGCTGAGGTGCCTCTGTGGGCTGCACGCAGAGATCTGCCTCCTGACGCGAGGCCGGCGCACGGCCAGCGTGCGGGCCGACACCTACTGCCGCCTCTACTCGCTGAGTGTGGACAACTTCAACGAGGTGCTGGAGGAGTACCCCATGATGCGACGGGCCTTCGAGACCGTCGCCATCGACCGCCTGGACCGCATTGGTGAGTGGGCCTGGCTGCTGGCCTCCGCGGGCACAGGGACCGTGTGTGGCGGGGAGGGGGCCGTGGCCTCGCTGGCCCACAGGAGGCAAGGCCTTCTGGCTGTGCAGGGCTCTGCTCCTTTGGCAAGTCCTTGCCAAGCACCTGCCATGTGCCAGGAGGTACATACACACGGTGAGCTGTGAGGCTGGCCCGGGCACCGCCCTCGGAAGCTTCCGTCGTAGCCTGCGGACATGGGAGCCTTGCGAGTGGACGCCAGGATGAGGTGCCGCCAGAGGCATGCCCTGGGAGCGGGTGTAGGGTGTGCAAAGGCCCTGAGGTGGGGAGAGGCCTGGAGTCCAGGGAGCCAGGGAAGCTGGGGGGGAGGCTGGGGGGGCCAGGCAGGGGCTGGGCGCACAGAGCCCAGTGGGCTGTGGGGGGCCTTCGGACTGCAGACAGGAGCATTGGGAGCCTCGGATGATTCTAGGTGGGAAAGCGCCTGTCAGACTTGTGTCCTACACGGGTGCCCAGGAAGGAGGTAGTTTTCTGGCCTGGCTGTAGGGAGAGGTAGGGGGACCTCAGGACTTGCTAGTGACTAGACGTAGGAGGCAGAGAGATGGTCACCTTAGTGCCACTTGTGGGAACGAGGACGGTGGCTGGGAAAGCAAGACTGGGTGGGGCACAGAGGGGTTTGGGGGAAGACCCTCATACAGAGCGCTCAATACCTGGGCACACACGACAGGCACTCAGCAATTTGTTCAGTAGGTGTTTGACGGATTCGTGAGTGGCACGTGCTTCGAGGTATTTGCTGGGTCGGCAGGCACTTCACAGGTGCTCGCCCGTGTGTGGTCAGCACTATGCTCTGGCTGCGAACAGGCAGGTGTTCCGGTGTCCCGCTGCACACCGGAAACGCTCTGTGCGTGCTGGCAGTTTACAGGGCTCTCATACCTGTCTCACGTATGCAGCAGGCGCCCGGCCAGCAGCACCCGATCCATGCTCGCTGTGTACAGACGCTGCGTACTCGCTGTATTCAGAGGTTCTCCATTTTTGCTTCTTAGGCAGCAGACAGCAGGCCCCTGCTCTCTGCATCTAGGAGGCACTCAACACACACAGCCGATGTGTGCAGTTGCAGAGAGCAGGTGCCGATGCCTGCTGCCTGCATGCAGGGGTGCTCAGTGCACGCCGCCGATGTCTGCTGGGTGCCAAGGCGGGTGCCGCAGGCCTCCCCTGGCACTGACGCTCCCTGTCCCCAGGCAAGAAGAACTCGATCCTGCTGCACAAGGTGCAGCACGACCTCAACTCGGGCGTGTTCAACAACCAGGAAAACGCCATCATCCAGGAGATCGTCAAGTACGACCGCGAGATGGTGCAGCAGGCTGAGCTGGGCCAGCGTGCTGGCCTCTTCCCGCCGCCGCCACCGCCGCAGGTCACTTCGGCCATCGCCACGCTGCAGCAGGCGGTGGCCATGAGCTTCTGCCCGCAGGTGGCACGCCCGCTTGTGGGGCCGCTGGCGTTAGGCTCGCCGCGCCTCGTGCGCCGCCTGCCCCTGGGGCCTGCGCCCCC